GCTCAACTTCTGAGCTCATTTAGGGTGTTGGCAGAATTCAGTTTCTTATCTTTGCAGGACTGAGGTCTTCATTTTCTTGGTGGCTGTTTGCTAGAGTTCACTCTGAGCTTCTGGAGAATACTCTCAGGCTCTTTCCTCAGGTCCCCTCCACCCCCTGCCACTTCTTCAAGCAAGTCCGTCTCTTGTTGACGCCTCCTTACACTTCAAGTGGTTCGGGCTTCCTCAGAGAAAATCTCTGCTTAAAAAAAAAAAAAGGCTCACATGATTGGATTATCTAGTTAATTCTCTATATCTTATAGCCAATTGATGAGTAGGTTACTGTAGCTGCAAATACCCTTTTACTCTTTGACATAATCATGGAAGTACCACCATGGGGCAAAGGTTGTGGAAGTCCTCTTTGAATACTATCTACCAAGGAGTATTTGGTGTGATGTTTATGATGTGGATTTTTAGAGCAGTGCTGTTCTTAGTCTTTTTTGCCTGATGTACTCTGCATATAAGTTAAGTAAGTGGGATGACAATAAATATAAGCAGCCTTGACATACTCCTTTCCCAATTTTTAACCAGTCTGTTTTTCCAAGGTCCATGTAGTCAAAGCTATGGTTTTTCCCATAGTCATGCACGGATGTGAGGGTTGGACCCTAAAGAAGGCTGAGTGTCAAAGAATTGATGCTTTCAAACTGGTACTGGAGAAGACTCATGAGAGTCCCTTGAGGGATCAAACCAGTCAATCCTAGAGGAAATCAACCCAGAGTATTCACTAGAAGGACTGATGCTAAAGCTGAAGTTCTAGTACTTTGGCCACCTGATGCAAAGAGCTGACTCACTGGGAAAGACCCTGATGCTGGGAAAGATTGAGGGCAGGAGGAGAAGAGGGTGATAGAGGATGAGATGGTTGGATGGCATTACCAACTCAGTGGACTTGGATTTGAGCAAACTCCAGAGATAGTGAAGGACAGGGAAGCCTGGCATGCTGCAGTCCATGGGTCGCAGAGTCGGACACACCTTAGGGACTGAACAATAAGAGTTCTTAGTCTTTACCTTTCTTTTTGAACCTACAACCTGGCCTGGAAAGAAGAGGGCCAGCTCTGTGTGGGTTCTGTCAACAAATATATGTGGAATGCCTGCTACACATAGTGAGCCCTATGGGCAGGAGGTAAAAATCTCTGTAAGATACACATTTCCGTACTCTCTTCACAACAAAGCTTTTCACACACATACACTCATCCCATGAGATCATTAACCAATCAAGGCACTTAAGGACAGGTGCGCAGTGAAGTGGCCTGGAGTGGGAGGGGAAACCCCTGCAAAGTGAAGTGGCCAAGAGAAGGCTTCAAGGGAGCAAGTGGTAAGCAAGCTGTGAATCAGCCACACAGTTTGGACCAGCTGGAGAGGAAGGGGCCAGGGCACAGAAGTCGCAGAGAGCTTACTGTTGGGGAAGCAGCGGGAAGTTAAGTGGAGGTGGAGGAGGAGGGAGTCTTTTCCCACTTTTGATTAGACCTCTACCCCCTTGTGGAGGTGGGTGGGAGGTGCACTGCTGTTGATGATGTTCAGCCAAAGGAGGACAAAGAAATCATGTGACATTCCTTACTCTTAAAGAAGCCTCCCGAAGGATCCACACCCTCCATCCTTGCCAACAAGCCTTGTGGTGAGCCTCATTATTCCTGGGGTACAGGGTACTCAGTGTGATAACTCGGTGTGTACCAAAGGTTTGCACTCTGGGCTGCATGATATAATCCCATGGGAAGCTTTAAAAAATTTTTACTAATGCTCAGAACAGAATTGTTCTGGATGGGATGGGAGATCGGTGTTTTATTGAAAAGTTCTCTGGGAGGTTCTGATGCCACTCAAGCATGGTGAGAACCACCTTACTGTCTTACAGGTATGCACAAAGTGCTGGGGGATCTGCTGTTCTCTGTGTATAGGAGGTGACTTTGGAAGTGGGGCCTTGAAACTTGAGAAGGACTTCACCAAGTTGACAGCGGGGATGGGGCATTTCAGGCGAAGGGGGAAGGAGGTTTACAGTCTGCATGGAGACTAGTGAGCGCCCAGTGGTTCATGCACAATGGAATTGGGACGAGGCTGCTGAGAAACAAAGCTAGAAGGATGGATCTGGGTGAACTTTGAAATGAGTACACTTGCATTTTGCAAACAAACAAACAAACAAACAAAAAAAGTCTTTACTCTCAAGACTTATGTTGATCCAGCTTGACCTTCCCTTACAAGTTAATCCAAACGACTGAGGTTTGACTCCCATGTTCGGTTTCTCCAGGACTGGCTTTGATTTTTCTCAGAAGTAGAGCTGGTGTTTATTCTCCTAGCAGCGCTGTGTACACACACTGCCCATGGAACTGCCTGAGCTGAGCTGTGGTCCCTCTGAGAACTGCTTCCTGTTTGGTCTGGTACCTCCTAAGCCTGCCTTTCTTTCTTGCAGTCTGCAGTTGTAGAAATATGCAGTATTTGAAGTTTGGAGGAGATCAATTTTTCATCCTTTCCTTAGTGGGGTGAAGAATATTTCAAACACCACTGGAGACCAAAGAGCTCAGAGAAGTTTTGAAAAAGCTTGGGAAATAGGCCACATGCTTCACACTTCATTTTCTTTTCCCTCTCTTTTTTCATTGTTTTACTTAATTAAAATATTGTAATGCAAGAAGGAGAGATGAGGCAAATATTTAGAGAAAGGAAAGGAAGTGGGTTCATTTTTAAACTGACTTGAAGCAGGCATGACGTTCATTATTTCATGGTTTGAAATAATTCTGAGTGTCTAGTAAGGTAAATCCTGAAATGTTCTTCCTGCCTGTGAGGCGATAAAGAAAAGCTGTGAGCTGGAGCCGGATTGTTCCTGAAAACTCTCGCCAGCATGGGCCACCTCCCCCACCCCCCCGTCTACCTCTCCCAAACCAACGGAAAAATTGGAACATTTTTGGGTCCAAGTTTCACAGATGTTAAGCATTTTGTGATATTACTTAGGGGGTTTCCTGAGCTACATTAAAGTTGAACCACTAGGGTGTTGAAACAGTTGGGCCCATAATAAATAAAATATACATGAAAAGGAATTGTGAGACATTGGCTGTTATGTGCTGGTGACAATTAGGTTACTGCTTTAAAAAATACATATCCTGGACACATCTATAGGAGCTTTTTAGGGAATTTTGAGTAGAAGCAGAGTAAAGGCGGTTGGTAATTTCTCTGGTTGCCTCTGGCAGGTGGACATAATTTAACAATACCCGTCAGATATGACAAATTGTTTGTGAGTTACATTAGGGCCTTAATAAGATCACATCTGTTCATATATCCTCCTTAACCACAGAGCCTGATTTAGAGAGTTTTCATACTGGTACAGTATTGTTGTTTAAATATTTAGAGGGGTCTAGACATGTATCATAAAAGAATAGACTCTTGTGTATAAAAACACAGTCCTTTTATTCTCAGTGTTTTTGCTTTCACGGACCTGCATCATTCTCTCAACTCGAGTGAACCACATGTTGCTCCCGAGAGCCAGGAAACATATTTTATCTCCTGTCGGAGTTAGCATCTTAGAGCTGGAAGAGGCCTTAGAGACCATCCTCCACTTCCCCTCCTTTTCGGAGTGGGATCTGAGATGGAGGCTGAGTACGGGACTTGTTGAGGGATTCTCACCACACTTGTGGAAGAGCCAGAGTGAGGACTTAATCTGCCAATTTGTACGGTAAGTCCCCTACATACAAACCTTCAGGTTGTGGACTTTCAAAGATAACAAAGGTGCCCCTACGCCAACTCTTGTACGGTAACAAGAGTTAATTTAACAGATTAAACAAGAGTTTAATTTAACAGATTAAAAATGTAAGATTTTTAAGCTGCACTGTAAGATTAAAAATATTTTCTGTATTTTTTTTGTGTGTTTGTTTTTTATGTATTGTCTGTGTGGAAAGTATTATAAGCTTGTTACACACAGTACTATGTAGCTGATTTTGTTATTCGGGTACCTGGGCTAACTTTGTTGGACTTACAAACAAATTGGACTTATGAAAGCACTCTTGGAACAGAACTCGTTCATATGTCTGAGACTTAACTGCATTTCACTGATCCTTTTATTATACTCAAACTTCACTCTGGGCTAGAAAACGAGGCATCAGTGCAGTAGGACTAGGTCATAGGTCAGTGTCACTAGTGGCTGTAGTGTTCTTCCGGTCACTGGGAGGCCAGGCTCTGTGTCATGGCTTAAAATTCAGGGCCTGCTCACAGTCCTCCTGGGACCAGTGTGTCCTCTGTCACTTGCCGGCCCACTGACACAGGTGAATGCCCCCCCTGTCCTGACCGCATCAGGTGTGTCCCCACCTTCGCTCACCCTGTCCCCTTCTTCTGCAATGTGTCCTGCTTGCTATTTCCAGTTCCCTTCATATGCAGCCTGGAGAGGTTACCTTTCATCATGAGGTCTTCCAGCCCACAGCTATTTACTAGGTTGACTCATGAAAATGCTGGTTTGTAGGTTGAAAATAGTCAAATAATGGCAGTTTTATAAGATTGAATGTAAGCTTAGTGTCTTAAACGCCTGTGCCACTTACTGATGTATTTTACTTACCTTCTTTCTCTCTGTGTGTGGGTGTATTTGTGTGTGTGTGCATGTGTTAATCAGGATGAAGGTCACATAATTGACTTCTTTTTATAATAAACTTTGGAATAACTTTAATTTTATAAGAAAGTTTCGAAGTCGGTACAGAGAGTTCCTATAAACCTCTAATTCAGTTCCCCAATGTTATCTTTTCACATCAGCAGAGTACATTTGTCAAATTTAAGAAAACAATTTTGGACTATCTCCAGCAAGTTACTGGTTGCCTTCATCTCAGGTGTGGGTCACAGGACAGCTATTGGAACTGGGAGAACCAGCATTCACAAATCAGACTGTTCTGGAAAATTGAAAGGTGCTCAAGAATTTCAAAGGGTAGCACCAAGTCGTTGTGAAGGTGCTCTTAGAAGGTGTTCCTGGAGCAGTGGAGGTTCTCCCCTCAGATCCGGGGAAAATGGCTGAAATGATGGAGTCTGAGATTGAGCAAAGCTTCCAAACTGTTACTTCTTGGAAGAAAAATAAGGAACAAGAACAATTCCGTAAACTCTTTATTGGCGGCTTGAGCTCTGAAACCACAGAAGAAAGTCTGAGGAACTACTACAAGCAGTGGGGAAAGCTTATAAGCTGTGAGATCATAAGGGACCATGCAAGCAAAAGATCAAGAGGGTTTGGTTTTGTCACCTTTTCGTCCATGGCTGAAGTGGATGCTGCCATGGCTGCCAGACCTCATTCTAGTGATGGGAAAACAATTGCCCCCAAACGTGCTGTCCCAAGAGAGGAATCTGGACAGCGAGGGGTTTTCCTGACTGTGAAGAAGCTGTTTGTTGGTGGAATTAAAGATACCGAGGAACATCATCTTAGAGATTACTTTTGAGAAATATGGAAAAATTGATGCCATTGAGATAATTACTGATAGAGAGTCTGGAAGAAAAAGAGGGTTTGGATTTGTGACTTTTGATGACTATGATCCCGTGGATAAGATTGTGTTGCAGAAAAATCATACCATCAATGGCCATCATACAGAAATAAGAAAGGCCTTTTCTCGACCTAAAATGCAACAAGTCCAGAGTTCTAGGACTGGAAGGGAAGGCAAAGCTGGTTTTGGAGATTCTCCTGGTAATGATGGAAAAGTTGGACCAGGACGAGGAAGTAGCTTTGGAGGACGATCTGATGGATTAAGAAGTGGTCGGTGGACTTGGTCGTGGTTATAATAGGTGTGGTGGATGACCAGGAAGTGGCAATTTGGGAGTTAGCCTTGGTTATGGAGGAGGAAAAGGAGCTTATGGTGGTGGAAGACTTGGATATGGATAGACAAGAGGATCTTTAGCTTCCTATTTTACATGGACTTGACTGTATAAAGAGGGGATGAGAGCCCAGAGGTAACAGGGCAGCTTTAGGTTATCCAAATAATTAGTGACTTTAAGGAAACCCTTCTCTCAGTCATGCCATGACTGTGGCAGTGAGGTACAGAAGACACCAGGACAGATGCAGAGAGTCATTTGTGAATGGATTGGTTTACTTAAGAACACCACCTTACTATGGAGGAAAGAATGAAAAAAAAATTGCTTTTGAGACAGTTTCCCAACTTTTTGTTTCTTTTCAAGTAAGAGGATGGAAGAATCCCTTCTTTGATAACATTAAAACTGTTTTCTAGGATCATGGTATAATGAGACATTTAAAAAACTGAAGTGTCTTGTAGTATTAAGAAGTTGTACATTTATGATTTAATAAAGACTTCTAAAGGAAAAACAGCAAAAAAAAAAAAAAAGAAAAAGAAAACAATTTTGGAACCTGATTAACTAAAACTCCAAGCTTTATTTGGATTCCATCAATTTTTCCATTAATGCCCTTTTCTGTTCCAGCAGCTGATTCTGCCTCCCAGGTACCACCTTGTATTTTATTGTTGTGTCTGCTTAGTCTCCTCTGGTCTATTAATTCAACCTTTCCTTATTTTCCATGATCTTGACAGTTTTGAAAAGTACTAGTCAGCTGTTTAGTAGAATGTCTCTCAACTTGGGATGGTCTGCTATGGGTTTTCAGGGAAAGTATCACCTTAGGTGGTGTATTATCCCCCATCTCAAGGGGTCATGATCTCAACTTTGCTTTTCCTGGAGATGTTAATGTCATCACTTGGTTAAAGCATCTGTTCAGTTGTTGGCCAAGTTTCTCCTCTGTAGAGATACTATATTTGGTCTCTGTTCACTTTTACATGTCACCACCAGCTAGACTAACAGTTTTTCATTTGGGAGCAGAAGCATGTTAATTCCTTTTGTACCTTTCATTGCACCTAATGTTTTATATAGTGTACATGCTCACAGAAGTTAGTTGAGAGGTCATTAAATTCATGATTTAATATCAGTCTGGTGGAGGTGTTTTGTTTAAACAAACCAAAACAGCAAAATCCCAGCCCACTGCATTCTCCTTACAACTAGTTTGGTGGTCTTTGTTCACTGTACTTAACGGGTAAATTGTAAAATGACTTTAAATATTTTTCATCTAAACTACTATAAAGAAGGGATTACCTGCTGTCTTTGCTAAGATCAGAGTTTTGAGTTCAGGACTCAGGAAAATCTAAGTGTAAATTAGGCACACACACACACATACACAGTTTGTAGCTTCTGCTGACTTGCAGCAAGGGTTGTCCCTGTTTGCGGAGACTCAAAATATTTGTCAGAAGTTTAGATAATTCTTGAATGTGTTGCCCGCAGGATTCCTAATGGTGCAAAGAATTGCCACTGTGAATGAAGTTATCAATCATTTTTAAGCTATTTTTCTGTAAAGGTGTTTTGCAGGGCATGGGTGGCATGCTTTTGAGGAACTTAAATTTGATATGGCACTTGTAGAAGCATTTAGGACCTAAACTAAAGGAAAGCAAGAATATTATATTAGAGTTGAAAACTAAATGCTGTAAAAGTCAGACAAGAGGAGAGAGGGAGTAGTTCTTTTACAAATCCCTTTGACAGAGACCTTACCACCTGGCCTTGTAGGGTTGATTCCTCTTTCTGCTGTGATTGAAAAGTTGGCATTCTATTCTGATGATTTAACCTTGGTTTGAAAGTTACACACAGGAATTAGTATCCCCTGATTTATTACTCTATTTAAAGAGGTTTCTTCTTTTTAATTTTTTTTAATATGGGTGAAAAAAATTCTGGCTTTTCAACAGTGTAGAATTGGTTCATGCTAGTTTTTCAATCTGAGAGTCTCATGATAGCTACACTTGCTTCATGCTTTATAATGTAATTTAATTTTCACATCTTTCTTTTATTAGCTGTGAAGTAGGTTTAGAAAAAAATAATTAGATTACGAGGTTAAACCATAGTTAAGATAAAAATGACGGTTCAATAAAAATAATGTTCAATAATTCCTATCTTCTGAAATAAAATACAGCCACTAAAAGATTAAATTCTGGTTTTATTCAAGTAAATTTTGCCTCTACACTGAAAATACTCAAGAAAGAAACCCCAAGAAAGGCACTTGGTTAGCATGAGAAAAGTACTATAATACATAGAATTGTAATTTGTGAGATAGGATAGGAGCCACACTTGAGAAGGAGTAATGCACCTGAGTGGCTTGTCTTCCATGGAAGGGGATGCACTGGGATTATTTGAGTTGCTGTCGTGGTGAGACTCCTAAGCTTGGTCTGACATTTTATGTGCAAAATTGGGAGTTTTCACCATTTGGGTAATCTTGGAATGCAGTGTCTCTTCATTAAAATGATCTGAAAATCAACACCAGATAGTGATAGTTCATGGTCACAGGGCCCTAAAATACTATGTGTAGAAGATGCTCCAGACTCTAATCCTATGTTTTACCTAAGAAAGCAAAGCCTCAAAGGGTTAAGTAGCTTTCCTGAACTCACTATGTAGATGACAGATCTTCAGCACCTCCATCTAGTGTTTTCTCCATTACATTGGATTGCCATTAGGATTGAATTTTTTGACTAAATAACTTTTCTCAAAGTAAAGCATGAATGTGATTTAAAGAGTCAAATAATATCCTTATGTTTAAGACTTGAGATGAAAATGAGTTCCACTCCATGTCCTACTCTTCCTTAGCTCTGAATCCTTTCCCAACAGGAAACCACCTTGAATTTTTCAAACTTATCTTCTGCTACTTAGCTTCATACTCAGATACTTAAATAGAGGCTTTTACTGTTCTTTAGCAATTTAAGAAAAAAAATTAGACATCTATCAAAGTTGTTTTCCCTTATATTTCCTTTACACAACTGAACTTGTACATTTTTTTGCAATTCTTGCCATTCCATTATAGAAATTCTATTTATTTAGCAAATATTTAGGGCTAAACTTCTCATTGTTTACAACTTGAAGGGATGGCATGAAATGCCAGCCACTGTCTGGCTCAAGGTGACTCCATCATTTTCCTGGTTATGATTAGAGTTCTTTTAATTCAGTGTTTTTCAAGGTGGGAGTTGCAGCCTGTTAGTTGTAAAATCAGTTTAGTGGGTTGTAGCCAACATTATAAAAATAGAAGAGAATTGGAAATATCGGAGTTCGATTTTTAAAATGTTTGATATAACTTTCGTTTTTAAAATAAAGCCACTAAGAGATTTAATTATGGCACATAATTAGGATAAATATTGGTTTATGAAACTTTCATACTAGATATACACATACATATACATATCAGAATATTTGTATTCTGTATGCGTGTATATGAGCTTCCCAGGTGGTGCTAGTGGTGAAGAACCCGCCTGGCAATGCAGGAGACAAGAGGTGCACGTTCACTCCCTGAGTGGGGAAGATCCCCTGGTGAAGGGCATGGCAACCCACTCCTGCCCTGGAGAATCCATGGACAGGGGAGCCTGGAGGGCTACAGTCCATAGGGTTGCAAAGAGTCGGCTGACACAACTGAAGTGACTTAGCATGCACACATGTGTATATGTATTTTGTATATTGAGTCCAAATGTAAAGTGTGTTAGTTTGAACATATGAAATTGCTGTTTCTGTAGGTAAAAGATAAATATGGGGAATTTCATATGGTTTAACCTACTATGTCTTGTCTTAGCTCATGGACAAAATGTTTGGGAGACATTTAATCTCAGTTGTTTTATGGCAAATAATGAACTTTTTTTTTTTTTGGGCTATGTTTGATGTTTCTTCATCTTTAAAATAAGAATTATAATTGTATCTGCCTCAAAAAACAAAGAATAGACACAAGGAAACTGGGAGATGGTGGGATATATTTATTACCTTGATTATGGTGATAGAAACTTGGAGTATGGATATGTCCAAACTCATCAAATCATTTATATTAAATATGCATTTTTTAATGTGTGTTCATTATATCTTAATAATGATGTTAAAATTTTTTTTTACCTACTTCAAAGAAAAGATGTGAAGATGAAATTACTTAGGACCCTTTGCCTACAGTAAGCGCTCATGGTCATCAGCATCATCATCCCTTTACTTGCTTGCCTACGATGATCTTTGTTTCTCATTTCCTCTTGAGAGACCCGTTTTCAGCCTCATCAGAATTGTTACATCCATTGCTTCTCTTATCATATGGGTACCTCCACTCATCTTCAATCACAGAGTAGTAGAGCATTAGTGGAGACCTTCAAGATTGTGTGCTGAAACCAGTATTGTCCAAAGTGGGATGTGCATCTACATTCGTGCAAGATGGTTTGAGATGGCACACAGACAGGGCATCTGCCAGCATGGGTTCACACAATGGAACTGTGAATTCCTTCTCAACTTGCTTGCAATCCTTTTGGTTCATCCAGGAAAATGTACCAGTTTGGTGCTGGTCTCTCTAATACCTTCCTAACACTTGTTATTTTTTTTTAAAACAGAGATCGGGTCTTAGGCTCATAGCCTTCAGTACTCATCTAAGAGCATTGGCTATAATTTAATA